TATTGTTACATTTAAGACACATTGTTAAGGTCAGTGTTTTTGGCATAAAGGCCAAGTGATTGGTTAGTAAAGAAACTTAAGTTGGTGAGTAGAGTGTTGTAGACACCTAATTTCATTCAGAACATGCAAACAAGGAAATGGGTTTTTAATACAAGACAAAGGAGTTTCCAAAGGCTTGAATATGATGTCAGAACGAACCAACATGACATCAAAATAGCTCATTGACATCAGAATGGACCAGGATGACATCAGAAGGCCCAAAAAACCAAAAAGGATGAACTAGGAGCCCATAACAGGCCATTCCCAATTTGGAACGAGCCATTCCAAACTTCTAAAATGGCCTAGAAACCCTAGGTCAAAATGCGGCATTCCCAAGGCCTCAAGTCCACCATAATGAAAGCATATTTTATAAAAGCTCACTCAAGAGGTATTCCCACAAAATTCATTCTCTATTATCTACTATTTCTGTCATAAACATTGCCATAAATAAAAGTGACCATGTAGACATCTTAGGTTCAATCGTGTAATTTTAAAATTAAGCATGTAAATAATCATTAATAAAGGGAACTAAATATTTGAACTTTTATTCTCTATCGTGCTAATTTTGTCATAGAGTACCGAGATAGGTCATTGTAGGGTGCCTAATACCTTCCCTATGCATAACTGACCCCAAACCCAAGGCTGGTTATGAAGGCTGTTTTGGTCTTTTTTATAAAAATCTTTCCTTTTTTCGATGTTTTGAGTAAAACATCGATGATGACTACTTTGAATAATTTTCAAAATCATTGATTGAGGATTAGTTTGGTTTTTGAGCATTCCTTAAATGATAAGATTTTCAAAATTGAAGTCCTAACCATTTGTGGGGAAGATCGGAATTTTTTGGGTTACGATAGATGGCGACTCCATTGGGGAAGCTTAAAGAGGTTCAAGCCCAAATAAATGATGAAATTAGCAAAATAAGAATATTAGTTCAAATATTTGCTCCCTTTACTTTGTTTGCTTTATATGTATTTATTTTATTTGGCTTTGATATATGTATATTTGTTTAAATTTCACACCTATTTGAAATAAACAATTGTACACAATAGTTCCCTTTATACCCGGGGGCATGAGTGTGTAAACATAGGGAGTGGTTAACGTACGACCGGTCCAAGAATGGTCATGCAGCTTGAGAGCCTTGTCAAAAATCACACTCAAGATGATAACCAGTTACTTTAACCTGAAATACTGCGTCAGACCTATGAGTTTGCCACGTGATGGCGATAGAGGTACTAGGTCCCTATAATGGGGGCAGTTTGGGAGCCTTTAAAGACTAGTGAGGATTATTAGAACCTTCCTATACAAAGCACTTTCTTTTGACAGGGACCATAAACCATGGATTTGAACATGACTACTCATGGGTGTACGTTGTTTGAGCATATGATTGTTGCATTGTTGTTTGTTCAAACTATTTGTTCATTTTTATAATTCCCCTAAGATAAAAAATAATAAATGTAAATATGCAAAAGAAAACATGTATGTCGCACATATATAGGGTTAGCAAGGAATCTCTAACAAAAATAAGAAATGAATCAATGTAACCTTTGTCACACGTAAAATATTACGAAAAGGAACACCGATGACTCACTTTCACAAAGGTGAGTCACCAATTCGTTGTTAAAGACCTCCTTTAAACATTCTCATTCAATAAGCCTAATAGGAAGCTGCCATTGTCCCTCAAAGGTGGTTTTTCAACACTTTATACTTACAAGGGCTCAAAGGATAAGAGTTATGGAAGCCTTAGTGGAGAGGAACCGTGTGCCTAATGAAGAACTCGCACAGCTCAAGGAATAAATGGTTAAGATGTTCGAAGCCATGAACAAGCTGCAGCAAGATGATAATAGCACCAGTAATGTTGGGGATGCTTCCAAAGATCACATGAATGCCTTGGAAGAAAGGCTGAGAGTTATGGAGGGCCACAACTTTGACATTCAGGAAGCTATGGAAATGTGTTTGGTGTAGGACATCCAGTTCGTCACCAATTTCAAAATCCCCAATTTTCATAAGTACACCGAGACTAGCTGTCCGAAAGGACACTTGACGATATACTGTAGGAAAATGGTCACCTACATAGGCAATGAGAAGCTCCTAATACACTATTTTCAGGAAAGCCTATATGATGTTGCTCTCAACTAGTACATGCAACTAGACAAAGGGAAAGTCCAGACATGGAAACAGCTCACCGACGCTTTTCTCTAGCAGTACAAGTATAACAATGACCTGATTCCTGATGGGTCTAATATGCAAAGCTTGGGCTAGAAAGGTGATGAGCCTTTCAAGGCTTACGCATAGAGATGGAGTGAACTGGCTGCATTAGTGGAGCCCCTGCTATCCAACAAGGAGATGGTGATGATGTTCATCAACTCCTTAAGTGGGCCCTATTATGACAAGATGATAAAGAACACATTGACCCTCTTTGCCGACATAGTCACTATGGGCGAAAAGGTCAAGCAAGGCCTAAAGAGCGGGAAGATAGGGAAGGCCCCAATGAACCACAACCACAAGAATTCCTATGGGTAGAAAAAAGAGGAAGGGGTCAACGTTGTCACTATTACGATCAGCCCCTCAAGAATTTGAGCTGCACCACAAACTAAGCCAAGGAAGGAGAGGATGATGGATAAAATTCCTACTACCTATGGGGAGTTGCTACCCCAGCTTCTAAAGGCTTCAATATTGGTACGAGTTCCCCATTTAAGAGGTTGGATTCACCTTACCCAACATGGTATAGGCATAAGGAGCGGTGTCATTACCATTTCGGTTCTCTCAGACATTTGGTAGAACATTGCAAGGCCCTACAGCTTCATGTGTAGGGCTTATAAATGTTGGGTGGTTGAAGTTCAATACCAATACACCTAGTATCGACAAGCAGTTGTTCCCTAAGCATGATGAGTAATGACCTTGGAGTGGTGTTGTTGAAAGGCCGCTAGAGCAAGGGTTCCGTTAGAGGGTTGTTTTGTTTTGTTTTTTAAGTTTATTATTTCTTTTTACCCATGGCTCCCACCCAAGATCGTGGGTTTCCACATTGAAAGGGCTTGTAATGACATTTTTTTAATTAATAATAAAACACGTTATTTTTATAAATTTGTCCATTTTTCATTTCTTTTCTTCCTTTTCTCATACATTATAATTCAAAAATCCAAATACAGAACCTAAAAGAAGCAATCATGACTAAGGAAAACAAAATTAATCAAAATCCGAACGTCTGCAATGCATCACTCAAGCTCGAGGAGGACCTCTCATCAAAAATGCAAAGACTATTGGACCAAGAGGCCCGAATAATCCAACCTCATCAAGAGAGAATCGAGAAGGTCGACTTGGGATCAAACCCTGAAATTGTCGAACATAAATTGCCTATAAAGGGGGGATTTGTCCTTTAAAGCAAAAACTTTGAAGAGTCAAGTCTGAGTGGTCCCTAAAGATAAAGGAAGAAATACAAAAATAGTTGGATGTTGGATTCTTGGTTGTATCTCATTATCTCAAGTGGCTTTCAAATATAGTGTCCGTGTTAAAGAAAAACGGGAAGGTACGATTCTGTGTCGACTACCGAGACTTAAATTGAGTTAGTCCTAAAGATGACTTCCCATTACCGCACTTCGACATGCTTGTGGATAATACCTCCACAATCAGGTCAAAATGGTCATCGAGGACTACGAGAAAACTTTTTTTATTACACCATGGGGCATGTTCTGTTATAAGGTGATGCCATTTGGATTGAAAAATGTCGGGGTGACTTACCAAAGAGCCATGATAACTTTGTTTCACGACATGATCCATAAGGAAATTGAGGTTTACGTGGATGACATGATCACTAAGTCAAAAAGTGAACGTGATCATCTTGTTCATCTAAGAAAACTGTTCAATCGACTTCTTAAGTACCAGTTGAAGCTAAACCCTGACAAATGTACCTTTGGAGTCCGATCTGGAAAACTCTTTGGGTTCATCATCAGTGAAAAAGGGAAAGAGGTGGATCCGAGTAAGGCCAAGG